AACGGAGATAAAACACCTCAATTATTGGGAGCGCTTGAGGTTCCTAAACCTGAAATTCCCTGGAACGCAGGAGGGAGGATACATGATTATATACACCGGGAAAATTTCCTAGAGGGACTAGTACCGAACTTGCACACGAAAATCACTCACTACGAAAGCAAAAGATTTGGGCAGACGATGCACCACCCCCCCAAGAAAAGCAGGGGTGCACTAGCACGTTAAGGAGACCATACAATAAGTGTAGGGGCCCGAGACTGTTCAACTGCCTCCCAGCACACATAAGGGGGATTACCAACAGACCCCTGGCAGTCTTCAAGCTGGCACTGGACAAGCACCTAAAGTCAGTTCCGGATCAGCCGGGCTGTGGCTCATACGTTGGTTTGCATGCAGCAGCAGCAACAGCCTGGTTGATCAGGCTCTGATCCACCAGGAGGCCTGGTCACAGACCGGGCCGCGGGGGCGTTGACCCCCGGAACTCTCTCCAGGTAAACTCCAGGTAATATCTAGGCAGGGGTTGTGGGTGACCTAGCTGCAGTCTCCAGACAAATTTGGCGAGTGTTGGTAGCATAAATATTTTATCATATGATGTATAAATACATGCATTCCTTCTTTCAATATAACATTATACAGTCCACATACTTTATGTAAATATTATTACCAGAATTACTGGTTGTGTTTGTTAAATTTGAAGTTAATATAGGTCCAGAGTAACTTGTTGGGTTGTATGAGGGTAGTGGGTGTCGAAGGGAGACATTCTCTCGGTGATTTAGGGTGTTTCAAAATATTCCTACGCTAAACCCATAGGATTAAACAGCGCCTGTGGGCGGGATGGAAGGTATTCATGGTTAATTCAAGAGCCCTTCGCCAGCATCAAGGAACCTTCCTTGAGGGGAGTTATCTTTGTTGCTTTCATTAAATTACTGATATGAATATAATGAAATTCATGCAGGTAATTAATTCCCACACCCAGGATATATTTATTACTCTCAGCCTAAATATATCTTTCAACCTCTGTATGTTAGAAGTGATCAAGGTCCCAGGACTGAAACGTTTTCTAATAAATATGTCCTACTGTTTGTTTACGTGTTTTTTTCTTAACCAACACTTAAGTACGAGATCAATTCTTGGAACATTGTATGTTCACGTCCGTGACCAAGCAATTACGAATGGCTATGAAACTTTTTTCCCAGAACCCTCCTGAAGTCGGGTTACTCTCCCGTACAGACATCACCCTGGGTAGGGGTGGCCCGGGTCTTTTCCGAAGGTGACCGGTGGTTAGATTTGGGACCAAAACTGTGCCCAGGCCCAGCCCCCACCCTGACGGGGCGTCGTAGGAGAAGCTAGGTGGGAATGGCAGTTTGTGAGATGAAGGTGGAAGACTGCTCTGGCACCTTCCCCGCCTAAGAATGTGTCTCCTTCACTGACCAAAACCTCTTCTTTATTATTCGCGGGTACTCTCCCGGCCCGGGTCTTTGACAGGTTGTGTTGGACCGGCCTTGAACTCCTGTCTTGGGAAGTGTCTTCTAATTATTTCCTAGAATCTGTTTGATAATAGCACTGGATGTCGAAGCGTCTACATAAAGAGATCCAGATGTTGCCATGTGTCTTAACTTCCTTGAATTTATAGTTGATATAAACACTGGGATGGCGAAGAGGTGATGGGAGTTTTATTTGTTGGCTATAGGTAGTTTTATGAAGTTAAGACCAAATGTTGCGCAACATCCTGGATTATCTTTAATGTGTAGTCGTTTCGCCATCCAGTTGGCTTTATTCATTACAGATTCTAGGACATAGTAGAAGGACAGTAGAACTATATACAATAGATGAGGTAACAGTCCCTCGGCCTTGGAGTGAGTGTTCACAGCATCGTGGTGGAGGAGAGTCTGAGCAAAGGCAAGAGGACTGGCGTTTGTTATAGGCTTCAGTGGAAGGGACGGGAAGCAGTCGAGGGCAGTCACTGGTAGGCGGGATTCCCTAGTGGAAGTAGGTCATCACAAAGAGATGGGTTAGTTGCAGCAGCGTAGAAGTCTTGTAGATGTCCTACTGATCTCCAAGATTCCATGATTGTTGCTGTGTTGACAAGTTGTTGCAAGAAAGGTATAAAATACCGACAATTGAAGTTTAAGACAACCCCCGATGCTGTGAAAACTAATCCAAGGCCGAGGGACTGATTACCTCATCTTTTGTATTATTGTTTTACTGTCTTCCTATTATGTCATAAGAATCTGTTAGATAAAGCCACTGGATGGCGAACCGTCTAACAATAAAGATATCCAGATGTTGCACATGTGTCTTAACTTTCATATTGTCGGTATTTTATACCTTTCTTGCCCCACTAGGTGTTTTATGTTTATTGTAAGCCTAGTTTGCAGAGGCCATGTTATGCGAGAGTACTGTATGGTGTTTGCCTGCTGGTACATTAGTCTACCGCAGAATTGAAGAGGGGGTTGTGTATGTCCTGCTGCTCCCTGATGATTTATTTTGCTTAACTCATCGTAGCAGTGTGCTGTTGAGCTATGTGAACTAGTGTTTTTTTTTTTAGAGTGAATGTAAAGGAGGAGACCAAGCAGACTTCAATAACTATAGGCCAATATCCAACTTAAACCCTCTATCTAAAATCTTAGAAAAATTAATTCATAAGCGAATATATTCGGGTTCAGGCCTAATAAAAATACTATTGATGATATACACATGCTAGAACAAATATACACTGCACTAGAGAAAAAAAAGAAGTCGCACTGGAATCTCATTGATTTACGGAAAGCCTTCGATACAGTTGACCACGACTTGCTCCGCATAAAATTGTAATAAAGTTGGTAGAATTACCGACAATATGTAAAGTAAAAGGACACAAGTGCAACTAATGTGACATTTATTGTGGCAACGTTTCGCTCTCCAGGAGCTTTATCAAGCCATTACGTAATGGCTTGATAAAGCTCCTGAGAGAGCGAAAAGTTGCCACTATAACTGTACATTAGTTGCACTTGTGTCCTTTTACTTCCGCAATAAAATTGTCACACTATGGTTAAGTGGGCACTCCCTCAACTACCTAAGTCATACCACAGCAGAGAAGCCAATATGTGTAACAAATGAGCTCAAACTCTTCCGCACAGCAATTACAAGTTGTGGTCCCACATGGGAACGTGTCCTTGGCCTTTACACTTTCTCGTTTACATAAATGAGCCTACCAAATGCATCGCAACTACCCAAACCACCATATTTGCAGATGACACACTACATAGTCTTCTCTCATACCAAGCCCAGTCATGATAGCCCAATACTGTTAAATACGAACAGGGCTGTATAGCCATTGTGGGCTTACCTCTTCTTTCTTATAATAATAAATAATGGTGATTACCGAATTTAAGAAATATCTACCTGGATGAGGACTATCAAAATTACTTCAACATTAACAAAAACCTACTTCATTCAAGAGCTAAGATGTCCCTCTTAACATAAAGTTAAATGGATCACCTATCACAAAGCTCACAGAGGGAAATTACTTACGGGAATCAACCTTGATAATAGAACAAATTTTCAAACACAAATACAAATCAAATTTCCAAGACCGTAGGCATCTATCGAAGATACGGTACTTTGTTTAATCTTCCACAGTCTGCCCTCCTGGCCCTAATCACTAATTATTTTACCCTATCTCACTTATGGAATTGTGCATGGGGCTCAACAACAATAAACCATCTCAGACCATTAATTACCCATAAAAGGCTGCAGTCAGAATGATGATAAATTCCCACTACAGGCAGCACACTCCACCAATATTCAAAACTCTAAACCATACAAAACATCAATACTTATTATTGTACCTACTACATAAACCCTCCTCTCAAACGTCTCCTTACCAACCTCAACAGAGCATTTTTATTTTATTAAAGATTTGCCGGTATTCTCCCGGCCCGGGCTTTTTCCAAGTGGTGGCCCGGCTTTGGCTCCCTCTTTAGGGAGTGTCTGAGACCTAAGTCTCCCATGGGAGGAGGCACAAGTACCTCCTCATCTTTGGGACCAACTGTCCCCAGGCCTAGCCACAAGCTAGGCCTCTCTGGCAAATGGGAATGACAGTCTTATGAGCTAAAGGCTCGGGCTCAGGCACCTACCCTACCCTAGAAGGGTTAGGCGTGGTGTCGATCTCAACAGAGCACATGACCATAACACAAGGCACAGATCACTCTTTGATATTCCTCGTGTCCATCTCACACTATGCAAAAACTCAATGCACATGAAAGGCCCAAAAATCTGGAATTCACTCTACGGAATTCACTACTGGTGAATATAAAAGAAACACTGTATGTTTCTTAAAAATCACTCGCCCACAACCAAATACTGAATAATTGTATCTCATAAACCCAATCGAACTTTATTTTTAATTACATTGCCTAACAGAATACTCCATTCTTCTGAATGTACAGCAACACAGTAAAAGACCATATGACCTGTCTTTGAAATACTCATTTGTGTTAAATTGTTAACTGTTTACAACAATGTTTATCACTGAATATATCATTGCTTAGTTAATCTTAAGTTAATTTTAAGCCTGCCCATAATGCTCTGCATACAAGGGACTTTGGCATGTTACACTTAGCCACTGTATTTCCTTGCACTTCTGTGTGTCATGTTCAAATAAATAAATGAATACCCAGATATTGAACATGTATCTTAATTTCATCTTGTCGGTATTGTATACCATTCTTGTACCAAATTCTCATACTATAATCTCATACTATAACTGGGGAAATATTTTTTTTGCACATGTAGAAGATAGTGGATTTTGAAGTTTTGTAATAAACTCACTTTTTTCTCAGGTTTATTTAAAAAAAGTAGAGCTAAAATTAGCTATGAAAGACAGCAATGTTATTCCAAATATGGCATATAAATTTATCAGATCGAATTAATTAATGTGAAATTAACTTGGTTATTTATTAATTTTGTCCTTGAATGATGTAGGTGTAGGAAATGTTACTGAAGAGCACCAGGAACGTCCTTCACTGGCCATCTAGCTGGATCACGTCTTGCCCGTAGCTGTGGACGAAAGATGAGAGCCATTGTAGAAAATTTGATAAAAATGTCAAGCATAAGAAACCCAGTTACTAAATGAATTTATGAACATGTGAAAAATGTGTTGAGATTAAAGCAGATCGATCACTCACCCAGATATCATTTTTAACTTCAAGTTCCTTTGAAGTCTTGCAAGCATCAACAATGAACTTCACATTTTGAGTTAGCTGTTGCATCCGATTAAATGAGGCAATGAGGGACGCAGGTATATAACCATCTTTGGACATATTCCTCCTCATGAAGATATCGTCTGTCAAGTTCTCCTCGCTAAAATAGTATTCCCTGAAAAAGAAAATGTCGTGAGGCCAACGTTTGTCTATTTTTTTCCTAAGCAAATATAAAATATGATAAACAGAATTGAGAAAAATTATCCCTGAATGATACTCACACTTGTTTCTTAATCTGATCTTCAAGGACGTCTTTACTCAGGTCATCCGGCTCGTGAAAGAATCCTGCAGATGGAGCATAAAACTTCATGCACTGATCATGCAGGTCATAATCTGCAACCTAGTAAAGAAAGACGGAAATCCGCATTAGAGGGTTACAATATAAGTGCATGTTATTAAAATTTGTCATCGATACAATACATTTCACTTATGAGAAACAGTTTCCATACCTTATAACCCACAGAGATGCTTTCACTGATATGGTTACTACCTCCTCGACAGCCGCTGCGACCTTTTAAGTCACTGTTTGTTGACTGTAGATGACACGAGTCTAATTCCTGTTCTTCAGCACGTCTAAACCCGTCTTCCATCTCCGTAATGTCGAGCTTCCTCCATTTTGTCTTTTTATCTGCAATAATGTGATAACATGTCAAAAAATTGAAATTTACAGAACATTTAAATGCCACAAAATAATTTATAAGACATGATATAAAATTTGAAATATTTATCATTGACAAAAATATTTGTTGAAATATTCATGGAGATAATACAATACTTACTTTTGCGCTTTTTTGTGTTTTTTGATTGGGTCATCGAGTCATCGGACATTTCTTTTTTATCATCCGCTTTTAGCTTTTTCTCGTCGATTTTTCTACATTTTGATTCCTAAAACACAAAGATTAGATAGGTTAGATAAGGTCTGACTTGCCATTTAAGCTTTAGGTCATCTGACCGAAGCCTTCCGCTGGCTTATCGGTTCACTCCTTTAAAAATTAGGGTTCTTATATATATAATTTCAAAACGACTTCAATCAATTTTAACTAATGTGGCATTTTAGTTCCACTTGTGTCCTTTTTACAAATAGTTTTAACTAACCCATATACGTACCTGATATTTTGTTGCGACAGAAATGGATTGCATGAGCCTTCGTAACTCAGCTGGGGTTGGGTCGCAAGAGATAATGGAGGCCACTGACATGATGAACCACTAACGTACTCACAGACTGCCTCAAAAATACTGACTACCGTCCCATCACTGATCCGTATTTATATACGAGAGAGGTGTGGCAGGTCCTTAAAAAATAAACCCTATTCATATACTGGATTTGTCCAACCCATTTTTAAAACTACCTAAGATTGAGGTAATTCTTCTACCTAAGGTTATAGCTTCAATGACTACTTGGCAAATTGATTAATATGATGGTGATACCGACAAATTGTGGAAAAGAATATAAGAAAGAAGGAACACCGCAGCAGGCGTACTGGCTCGTGCTGGGCAAGTCTTTCTCAAACTCAAACCCACTAACGAAAATATTTGCCCAACCCATTCTCAATGCTACCCAAGGAATGAACTCTAATAATCCTGATTGATAAATTAGACACATATGCATCTCTTGGGTATCTTTATTGAGAAAACGTTTCACCACACAGTGGCTTCATCAGTCCATACAAATGAAACATTAAAAAAAGGTATAAAATACCGACAGGTTGTTAGGTAAGACACATATGCAACAGTTAGGTATCTTTATTATGAAACGTTTCGCTACACAGTAGGCTTCTTCAGTCGAGTACAGAAAAGTTGATAGAAGCAGAAGAGACTTGAAGGGTGATGGACTGATTACATCGTCTTCAAGTCCCCTTCTGCTTCTATCAACTTTTCTGTACTCGACTGAAGAAGCCTACTGTTTTGGCGAAACGTTTCATAATAAAGTACCAAAACTGTTCCCAAATGGGTTTCCCTAACAACAAGTCCTTTCCAAAGGAAAAACCGTAAAGGGAACAGGGGAGAATAAAGGTAATCAGCCCAAAAACCCGGGGAGACGATGTGGTCAGCCCAATAAAATCGAATAGATGACACCCAAAATGGTATAAAATTTCCCGCAGGTTGGTGGTAAGACACATAGGCAACAGTTAGGCAATTTTTATTCCGAAAAGTTTCCCCTACACAGTGGGGCTTTTTCAGTCAAAATACAAAAAAAGCGGCAGGAACAGTAGAGATGTGAAGACGATGAAATCGCCAATCCCCCTTGAAAGTGTGAATTTGGGGGTTGTGAGTCCCCCCACCCTGGAAAAAGTTCAGTTCCATAGTCGGAACTATCGGGAAGATAAAAGGGGACGTGCGGAGGATTTTAAAATACTGTCGGAAGGAGAGGTGAAAGAGAAAGTAGTATTTGTGGAATTAGCCACTGAAGAGGTAGGTCCCTCTCAGACCCAAAACGGGTCTAAAATTAAAAGGGGGTTGTCCAAGGTGTTTTCTTAAAAAAAAGAGGTATGTTGCAGTTTTCTGAAAAGATAAACACCCAAAAGGGTTTTAAAATCCGAAAAAGGTTGGTAGGAAAGAACATAGGCAACTTTTTCCGAAACGTTTCGCCTACACAGTGGCTTCTTCGGTCAAATTTCGAAAGTGGGCGGGGGAACAGTAGAGATGTGAAACAAAGGGAAACTGAACTTCTCCGGCTGGGGGGAAGGGACAACCTAAAATTTCTAGGGCCCTTTAAAGGGTGAGGGGGGGAGGGTTAAATTTCGTCTTCAAATAAAAACCCATAAGAACAAAAAGAAAGGAGGGAAACATGCAGCAGGGCCTGTTGGCCCATACTAGGCAGGTCTTTACAGGTTGGTAGGAAGGACACTTTAGGAACTTTTAGGCCAACTTTTTTTTCCGAAACGTTTCGCCTACACAGTGGGTTCCTCAGTCGAAAAAAAACAAAAAAAGTAGGGAAGGAAACAGAAAAAAGAGAAGACGATGGTAAAATTCATTTCTTTAAAACCCTTTCCCCCCAGGGCCCCGGGAGGGATGAAAAAACCTAAAATTCTGGGATTTTGGGGGTGATGGACGGGTTTAATTTTCTTCTCTACTTTTCCCGGGCCTACTTTCTGTTTTGATGAGGAAGCCTATGTGTAGGCGAAACGTTTCGGAATAAGTTGCCAAACTGTTGCCTATGTGTTTCCCTTACCAACCTGTCGGTATTGTATACCATTTTGATTTTTAGGCCCCTTTAAAATTTCTTCCCATAAAAAACTTTTTGACCAAACCCAAATTTTCAATGCAAACCCAAGAAATAAGCTCTGATGTGAAAGCCCCCACTCAAAACCAACCCCTTTCCCCACTAAAAGGGAACATAAGAAAGGAGGAACACTCCCGGGAAAGGGCCTTTTGGGCCCCAAAAAAAGGCAGGTCCTTTACATTCATCCCCCCTAAAAAATTTGGGCCCAAACCCTAATTTTCAATGCCCCCAAGTTTTTAGCTTTTGATGGAAAGTCCCACTAAAACCCAAAACCCCTCCCATCATGTACTTTTCCAACTTAAATTTGAAACCCCCCAAAGTCAACCCATGGACACAGGGGGTTTATATAAAGGTCAGAGTGAGGTGCAATACTGTGAGGTTTAACCATTTCGATGTTCACTAGTGGTAGTATTTAGTAGGGGTATTTGAAAAAAAAAATTAAAATTTGGGTTTAGAGCAATTAATTGTCATTGGGAAAAGGATATAAAAAGTTTATTTGGGGTTTTAAAATAAAAATAGGTTGGAAAAATAAAATGGGGATGTAAAAAAGGAGGTTGTTTCAGTGTTCACTCTCTGAAAAGTGCTTTGTGTGTAAAAACGGAGGACTATTTTTAAAGATTGAGAAATTATGAAGCATATGGGGAAACTTTATTCGGGAAAAAAAAAGTTTCGCCACACAGTGGCCCCATCAGTCCAATACAAAAAAGGAAGGCGAAAGGAGGGGAGGAGTATGAGGAAAATCGTCCCTCAACCTGGAGTCGATGGACTAACACATGGGGAATCCAGGTTGGGGGGGATGTTTAACCTCATTACCCCTCCTCTCCTTCCCCTTCCTCTTTGTAAAAAATTTGGTAAAATTTTACCGAAAATTTGAAAAAGAAAAAGGGGGACCAAGTGAACTAATGTGACATTTATTGGGGCCCAACTTTTTCGCTCCCCAGGGCTTTTATCAAGCCATTCCAAACAATACAGGGACAAGAGGGTTAAAAAGGGTTTCAGAGTGAGGTGAATACTAGTGAGGTACCATTTCGATGTTCATTTGTGGTATTTGTATTTTAATTTGTGGTAGTGACAAAAGAAATTAATTCGTACATGAGAAAAAGGGGATTTTAAAAAAATTATCTAGGAGTGTCTGAGACCTAAGTCCCCCCATGGGGGGAGGCACAATTTCTCCCATCTTGGGGGCCAAATTCCCCCCAAAGGCCTACCCACAAGTAGGCCTCTCTGGTTGCCACCCCCGCCCCAAGGGGGCAAATGGGAATGCGTCTTATGAGAAAAAGGCTCGGGCTCAGGAAACCTACCCTCCCCTTTGAAGGGTTGGTTTTTGGTGTCGATCTCAACAGGCACATACCTTTAACCCCAAAGGCACATTTTCACTCTTTGATATTCCTCGGTCCATCCCCCCACTATGCAAAGATCAATGCGCTTTAAAAGGGCCCAAAAATCTGGAATTACTATTTGGTGAATATAAAAAAAACTGATTTTTCAAAAAATACTCACCCAAAACCAAAATTACTGAATAATTATCTCAAAAACCCCAAAACCCCGAATTTTTGTTTTTTTTAAAAAAAAATTACATTACCAAACCCGAATATTATTCTTTGAATGTACAGCAACACATTTAAAAGACCATATGCCCTATCTTTGAAATACCAATTTGGGGTTAAAATTTTTTAAATGTTACAACTTTTGTTTTAAATAAATTTTTATCATTGCTTAGTTATTTTTAAATTTAAATTTTAAAGCCTGCCCAAAAATTTCTCCCTAAAAGGGGTTTTTGGGCCCATGTTACACTAACCACTTTTTTTCCCTTTGCACTTCGGGTGTGTCGTTTCAAAAAAATTTAAAATGAATCCCCGGGATTTTTGGAACATGTTTTAAAAATTTCATTTGTCGGTTTTGTATACCTTCTTTACCAAATTCTCATACTTTTAATCAGTGTTTTGTGCAATTACACCCAAGGGACTATGAAAAAACACCCCACCTTGCATTAAGGGGGAAATTTTTTTTTTTGGGAATGTAAAAGGGTAGGGGATTTTGAAGTTTTGTAAAAAACTCGCTTTTTTCCCCAGGTTTTTTTAAAAAAAAGTGAGCTAAAATTAGCTATTTAAAGACAGC